AATGGTCTTGCAGGAGTTTATAACCATTTGACCTCATCATCCCTTGGGGCGCTCTGGTGAACAAACATTCCCCGAGATCCTGTTGAACACTCCTGATAAACTTATAGGTGGCCATCAGATCATCGCTGAGCCTGCGGTTTTCCAGGCTGAAGAGTCCCATAGCTCTCAGTCTCTCATCATAAGGTCTGTTTTCCTGACCTCTGATCATGTGCATGGCTCTCCTCTGGACACTCTCAAGCTTCTCCACATCCTTTTTGAATTGTGGAGCCCAAAACTGGACGCAGTACTCTAGCTGCAGCCTCACCAAGGCTGAGTACAATGGGAGAATGATGTCCTGGGATTTGTTTGAGAAGCATCTATGGATGTAAGCCAGCATTTTGCTCGCTTTACTAGCCACAGCATCACATTGAAGGCTCATGTTCATCTTGTGGTCAATCATGACCCTCAAGTCCCTTTCATCCGTAGTGCTAGCCAGTGTAGCACTGCTGAGCCTATAAGGATGCTGCAGGTTTTCCTTTCCAAGGTGGAGAACCTTCCATTTTTTGGTGTTAAACACCATCAGGGTCTTGTCTGCCCATTTCCTGAGCCTGTCAAGGTTAGCGTGGATCACCCTCCAGTCCTCAGATGTGGACGCTTTACCCCAAAGTTTGTTGTCATCTCTGCACTTGAACAGAGTGCTTTTCACGCCCTTATTCTGGTTGCTGATGAAGATATTGAACAGCACCAATCTAAGGACCGAGCCTTGGGGGACCCCACTGCCCACATCTTTCCAGGTCGTTACCAACCCATCTACCACCACTCTCTAAGTATGACCCTTAAGCCAATTTGCCACCCACATGATTGTGTAATCATCTGTGGTATAGCCATTCAGTTTGTTTATAAGAATAGGATGGGATACTCTGTCAAAGGCTTTTTTAAAGTCCAAGTAGATGACATCTACCTCGACACCTGCATCTAAGCTTTTAGTGGCCTGGTCATAGAAAGAAACAATGTTAGTCAGGCAGGATCTACCTGCTGTGAACCCGTGCTGGTTGCCCTTCAGCATTATATTACCTGTTAGACTCCTACAGATGTGATCCTTGATAATTTTTTCAAGGGTTTTCCCAAGGATAGAGGTGAGACTAACTGGTCTATAGTTACCTGAATCCTCTTCCCTCCCCTTCTTGAAAATAGGGACTACATTGGCCCTTTTCCAGTCCTCAGGGACCTCACCTGAGCACCAGGAGTGCTCAAACAGTTGTGCCAGTGGCTCTGTTATGACACTGGCTAATTTTTTCAGCACCCTTAGGTGGAGGTCATCCAGTCCTGCTGATTTAAACACATTCAGCCCCTCCAAGTGTCTCTTTATTAGGTCAGCGCTGACAGTTGGTGGGCTGGTGTTTCTTCTGCTTCTGTCTAATGCATTTTGGAGATTTGTCTAGATCAGAGTTCAAGAATACAGAGGCAAAAAACTCATTGAAGAGCTCTGCCTTGTCCCTCCTATCTGTCACCAGCTGCCCTTGTTTATCCTGTAGGGGTCCTATGCTGCCTTGCACCTTCTTTTTGCTCTCTCTATTCCTGAAGAAGGACTTGTTGTCCTTAATTTTTCTTGCTAGCCTGAGTTCTAAGGCTGCTTTGGCCTTCCTGATTCCCTGAAATTGCAAGCCAAGGAGGTATACTCCTCCTTGGCAGCTACTTCCTGCCTCCACAGCCTGTACACCCCTTTTTTCCTGGATTTGCCTGCTGAGCCCGGAGGATTTCTTAGCCCCTTTGTCCCCTTTTCTACACAGTGGGATTGCTTCCTTGAAAAATCCACCTTTCCTGGACCTCCATTTTGTCAATGCTCTTGAGCTTTAATCACCACTAACTAATCTCCTAAACACCCTCAAGTTAGCTTTTCTGAAGTCTAGCACTTCTGCCCTGCTGGTTATTTTTCCCACCCTTTGCCAAACAGTGAGTTCAGTCAGTTGATGGTCACTATCCCCTATGTTGCCTTGTACCTGCAGATCCCTCACCAGGTCTTTCCCCATAGCTAGCACCAAGTTCAGCAAGGTGTTACCCTGAGTGGGATCGTATACCTCCTGCATCAGGTGGAAGTCCTGTATGCAGGTTAAGAACTTACATGAGCTATTAGTTCTGGCTGACTGATCCTCCCAGCAGATGTCGGGGTAGTTTAGGTAATCCATAATAATGATATCTCTTGACCATATGGCCTCTAAGAGCTGCCTGGAGAATTCCAGGTCTAGTTCAGTCTCTTGGTGTGGCGGTCTATAGTAGACCCCCCCCTACCAAGTCCCTTTCCCTTCGACACCCTTGTATGTTAACCCGCAGTACCTCAGTTTGGTCCTCCTCTGATCCCGTCTTGATTACAGAAGATGTATATTGCTCCTTAACATAGAGAGCAACACCCCCCTACCCTTTTTCCCCCACTCTATCCTGCCTGTGCAACCAATAACCTTCAATGCCCACCGCCCTGTCATGAGTAGGGTCCCACCAGATTTCAGTTAACCCAGCCAGGTCAAAGTTGTTTTTTGCAAGCAGGAGTGCAAGTTCCTCCTGTTTGTTCCCCATGCTCCTAGCATTAGTGTAGAGACATTTAAGCCCCCCAGTGGGTGCCCTTGGTACCCCCTTGTCATGATGTCTATCAGGCCCCTTAGTGCTTACCTGGGCTGATCCATTGCATGGCTTGTGGTTCTCTGAA